GAGTCAGGTGGGACTTTCAAGGGATTTCTCAGGACTCCTGAGGACTCCCGTGGGACTCCTGTGGAACTTTCGAGTCCTACGGAAGTCCAACGAAAGTTCTCAGAAACCTCAAAGTCCCACGGGAGTCCTCATGAGTCCTGAAAAATCCTGTGAAAGTCCCACCTGACTCCCGCAGGATCCCATGACAGAAGTCCCGTGGGAGTTTTGCCGTCTCGACTAGGACAGGACGTCGAGAACGGTGTAAGTAATTGTCTATTAAATATCCACTAATAACTCATCCAATTTTGATTAAATGAAAATTATTAGATCATTTCGACAATTTTTGACCGATTCTGGACATTAATATGTATTAATGTCTGGAACTGACGATCCAAAAATGTCTAGGTTACTTTTGCACTACTATGGGCCGTCACCGATCTACTTTCGAATGTTTCTGAATCCAGTTTCTTTCTCACTGATAAATTATCAGTGATAACCTCACAAAAACTGAATTCAAAAACTTTTTTTCAATATTTTTGGTCCCTTCGGACCATGGTTCCATCACTCGTACTCAGTCCAGAACTAGAGGTTACTTTCTTGAGACAAGTTTCATTGATCTGAATAATCGACGAAGAGAAGAATTCTCAGTTTTCTCAACAGAACAGGATGCCATATTTGTATTAGTCAAAATAATCAAACAAAAGGGTGAATGATTTGTTGACAACTGGTTGAAAACTGGCGTTACGCTGAAATAACGTGCGACAAACCAGTGGCTGTTAACGGGCATTTTTTAGTCAATTAAAAGCTCATTTTTTCGTTATGTAATCCCCAGACTATGTATGGCATTATTAAATGTAAGTGTTTGTTGACCCGACAAGCTTACTATGATCGCAAACTAATAACTGGGATAAAGAACTAGATGCTAACAATCCTTCGAGAAGATTGGAAAATCGACTGAGTGAAATGTTAAACAGATGAAATTAGATCTAGATTAGATCTAGAAAGTTACAACAGTCTGACTTTTTTTCAGAAAAATAATGTTCAATAGGGAGTGGTCACTCATATCTTATGATGGCATTCTATAGCAAAATATATATATGATATAATAATAAATCAGCTGATTCAGCTGACATACCAGCTGATTCATTATCATATCACGTTCTGCTATAACTTTCATATCAAGCACTGTAGTATATAAAAAAATCTATTGGTAAAAATAGCAGGTCCAAAATCCTGTCTGCAGGGGGTGTACCTGATGGATCTTCCGTCGGCAACGCTGCTGGTTTCTCAGTTTCCATAGCAACCTATAGTTTCAAAATATGTAGAACACCCACATCCACGCAAGTCCGAGACCTCCATCTACCACCGTTCAGGTGTGGCAGAATTTCTCCGAAGACACCCCTATCCCCTAGGCGACCGAAAGTACGGAAATCAGATAAGAATCTTATAGAAATCTTACGAAAATCTTATATGCTCCAGTCGAGAGAAATTCGCAATATAAGAATCTTATAAGAATCGAATAAAATTTGGGTAAGATTTTAATTTTATAATTATCTTATAAGAAAGTTATAAAATTAACATAGTAATTTTACTACAGATACTTTACACCCTATCTCAGGTTCGTTCTTTTTCTTTTTCAAAAAATATGTTTGCTTCTCGAGATATCCGAGAAATACTGAAAGTCAGAATCTTCATGTCTCACTCTTTTCTAGACAAGAGAGCGTAACGCTACGTTATATTTATTACATATGGCAAAAGGGGCGACTATTCGCGGATGACAATAAAAACAAAATTTGGGGGAAACCCAAACATAGAATGCTGTATGCATCGGAGGCCCCAAGAATATGAGTTTTTATTGAGTTGTGAGAATGAGTTGAACTTGTTTAATCGTTGATAGTGGTAAATCAATATAACACTTAGAAGTTTCGCTGAGCCAACAACCAACAAGTTGGATGATATGAGCAGGTAAATCGCAAACGGAGGTCGTTGCAGCATCATCATGACGGAAGGAATGCCCTGAATATGCTTGAGCTGGTAGACCAAGATGGGACAAAATTTGACAAATCTTTTCGATAAAAACTGCTCTTGTCAAAGGCAAACGTTCTGGTGTTAGAAAGAGAGAGTACTCTGAAGTGGCTAATAAATTTGATCGAATTTTAAAAAAACAAATTAGCGTTAAAACTGGACAAATACGTCCAGACTCTAAAAAAAAATGTTCTTCAGTTTTTCAACGAACCGAAAAATCAATGGGAATTTTGTTTTTGATTTGTCCCAGGAACTCAAGATCTGTTCTTCAGTTTTTGAAAATTGATTTTTTCGTTCTTTGAAAAACTGAAGAACATTGTTTTTGTAGAGTGCAGAAGTCGAAAATAGATGTATTTTTTTCCCTTTTTTGACACCCTATGAGATAACAATTGGTGAAATTCGATATACTAAAAATGGTGGCACTTTGAAGAGACCTATAAGATAACCTTCTTCCAACTCCTTATTAAGCAGTTTACTGACTAACTCTGGAGCTTTTCTTGCTGACAGTAGATTTTTACATTCATAAGGATTTGTCGGCAATTTTTTGATTTGTGTCAAATCCGGAGGTTATCTAGGAAAGCATTCGATATTAACTGTCGTTGAAAGTTTCACGTCTAAAGAGAGAGACTGATTTATATGCCAAAATGTTAACTTTAAATGGAGTTCTTCAGATGTTGTTCGCTAGCTGCATATGAGTATCTCTTTAATACGTTCTATGCCACAATACGGAATAACTATAAGTGAAACAGAACAGGATGTTACTGGTGCTGTTGGCTACACTTAGTTGGTTCAGAGGCGTGTGGACCTTTTCAGACTGAGCAAACATATTTATATGTACATTAACCTGCTGGTTTTGTACATCTGGCTGCACTATTAAAGTCATTACAAAATTCTTCTCTACCATCGAATATTCTTTTTCTTCCCAGATTATCACTTGTGAGATCTTTCTTTGATGATTGTAGACGTTGACTTCCACGATTGAAGGAGTGTCGAAATCAGGGACACCGACCGCTAAGTACAAGAAGCAGAGAGAGTCCTCCGATTTCAGAATAAATCGAAAAATTTCAAAACTGAGAGTAAATATCTAATTTGTCTAATAATACGCAAGTTTTGACAGACAAAACGTTTTAGTTGCATAAAACTTCGTGCGCTCAAGTTTTTGGTATAGTCTCTACAACAAAACTAAACATATATTTCACTTTCCGAACGGTTTTCTATTTTAACTTGCAAACAGACAGTTAACTGCCCAAAACAACTAAATTATTCTGAAATGTGTTGTTGCTTTTCGAATACGCTTTCACGGTTTTAGTTGTTTCCATTAAGCCGCAGTTTATATCTGAGACATAAATTTCTTTAAATTTAAGAGTAAAACGTACTGATTCTTCGTCATGGCCTGAGGAATTGACTGAAAACCTGCGCCTCACATTATGGTTTTGAGAGTAAACTCAGCGGACAAAGACGTTTTGTTATGAAGAGTCAAGCGTTTACACCGCGGGATTTGGGAGCCAAGTTAGTGAACGAGGACAAGAAGAATGCAATCAATGCTTTCAAAATGCAGGTCGTCGTAGATTTTCTTGAAAACGAAAAAAAGAAAATATGTTGGCGTTTACTCTTAAATTGAGAGTATGTATAATGAGTAATCAACGATTGCTCATTATGCAGCATTAAATCACAGCTCAGAAGTACTTCCTCTTCGTTTCCACATGCTGTTATCTTTATTGCATACGCCAGATGGTGCTGATTGTTGATCTCATTTCCAGAGCAAAACCTTTCGAATTTGGGAGTAAAGGATTCTAAAAAGCAGGGAGGGGATCTCCCTCCCTACTTCCGTTGTCGCCTTGTCCCTGACTGAAATGCTCCAGACTGATCAAGTAAATGCTGTGGTAGAGTGAGACAGAGATTTACAAAGTTCACAGACTTTGGCTCTTGAAATTGATGCAATTGTCAAATATAATTCAAGATCGATTATCGATCAGTCAAGAAAAATCTTTCTTTCAACTAGTACTGCCGATTTTTGGGCAAATTATTTATGGCAAAAGTAGAAACATCCTGCAAACCTGGTGTTGATTTTTATAATATTTGCGAGATATCCTTGCAATTCTTCTCTTCTTTTAGGATAATGATCACAAAAAACACTCATGTAACTACTAAATACTTCAATAAATTCAGAAATTGATAGATCTCGTCTTAAACGAAGATTGCTTGTATGTTCCAAGATATAGACACCTTTAGTTCCGTTAATAGTTTCTTTTGAAACGCTGCCATCGTTTGGTAACAGCATCAACGCAAAATTAACATGCTCTCTTGATATTATTTTTTGTTTGATAATCTTGGAAATAAAGGGGGAAGGGTGGAGCCGCAGTAGGAATACTACTAAGAACCATTTCACGTGTTAGTACTTCTGTTTTACTTTTATTTGTGGTCTCCATAATCTTATCGACAGCTTAGATAAACTCTTTTGCTGCTAATGATCATGTGGCAATAATACTGAAATTGCATCACTTGCTCTTTCTGAAAAATTCGGAGTTCCTATCGTTGTTAAACTATTCATTGCTGTCGGCGTTGTTGTAATTGGTGTTATGAATGATATTAGTTCAATTGACTGTGATGATAGTAGTGTGACATCTGAAGCTGACTGTACTTCTGTTAATAAGGCTGACGTAATTGTATTAACACTATTTTGTGTTTTTATAACAACTGACGGTACTACTGGTATTAGTGGTTTGGTAGTTGGTGTTACTTCATGTTGTTGCTGTTTTGAACTGTTTCTTTGTTGGCGTTTCTTTCATACAACCCGTATAAAATATCATAAGGTATGTTAGGTTGCACTGAAATATCTTGGTGTCTTAAAGCATCTTCAGTTATTTAAGCATGACATTGTTAGAACTTTTGAAATTGTTTGGACCATCACTGACCTCTAATCGATGTCTTTTAATTTTCTCGGTAATAGTGTTCGTGTATTACTTATTGCAAATCTTTTTGGCATAGGTGATTTATTATTTTTTGTTCTAGAGAATCCAGCGAAGTTAGAGAAACTCAGAATAGAGAGAAAAATGAACGAATTTTTCCAAACAAGAAAGATTTCTCTTTTCGATTACCCTGACGACAAATTCAATTCTTCGAAAAGAATGTGAAATTCGCTTCATATGAACTTACGTTCTTACTTCGAAGAACCTACATTTATCACTATAGTATGCTTTTCTCGACTGTAGCATATAAGATTTTCGTAAGATTCTTATCTGATTTTCGTACTTTCGGTCACCTAAGATGAATATATTGCGAATATAAACAAAACAGAGTTTTATTAGACATGGAATCATTTTATTTTTTCTCGATGAACGCACAAGCACAAAATTTGTACGAGTTTAAACATAATAAATGTTTATATATGCTTTCATACAGAATGAATAGGAATAAATAAGTTTTTTAATAATAACAGATGTTCTCCTTCAACGAAATCATAACAATAGAGTTTTGCGTCATAAATATCATTCAATTTGGAATATATCAGAATTCAACAAGGATTTACAATTAATTGTTTTCAACATTTGTTTGTTCATCAACTGATGACGTTCGTCGTATGATGTTATTAGAATATGTTGATATAATAATGGTATGAGAAAACCAATTAATTTCTATGACTTACAAAAATGTGCTGACAATAATTTATCTAGCAATTGTATAATGGATATTTCCAGAATTGAGATCTTGATATCTAATTAGGAATTATTTTTGTATTATACGCATATAGTATAGTAAAATGTAATATAATTATTCTTATTTGAATTTAAAAAAAATAAAGAAATGATGTTGAATCGGGTTTAATAAACTTAAAAACTATTTTCAATCATTTTTTACCAGTTAAAGTAGCCCATGTTATTAAGTTTGAATTCTGACTGTGTTTATGATTGAGAGCTGTGGTTGATTGTAAAAAAAAACAATTATCATCTTCAATATGGTGGTATTTTACAAAATCATACATTGGTGATGCGATATTATATTCTTCTCGTTGACATTCGATGCCTAAACACAAGGCAAATAGAATTCTCTTTTATTCTGATGTTATTAATAATATGCCAGAGTTATCTTCAAAAATAGAAAAAGACGACTTATTTTTAAAAGACGACTGTTTTTTGAGTTCTATGATAGTCTTGTGCGAACATAGACAGTGCCGTGTCGGGAACAAATAGCAGAGGGTAGTGAAAGTTTTCTAGAAAATCAACGTGTACGCTCCTTATTGACACAGTACTAACAAACTTGACATTAGGTAAAAATATAACGTATAAGAAACTTGCTTTTTGAGGAAAAATTCGCCGGATGATTGGTAAATAATGATGAATTTTGTAATTGCTCATTGTCTACAAGCGATAGTTGCGCTTCATTTAAATTCGATTGATTATTTTCACGTTTCAAATCGATTGAATTATCTGGATGAGATGTTGTTGATATTCTGTTTAATGCAGCTGAAGCATTTTTTATCCATGTCATCCAGTAAAGTTCTTTTTCCGGATCCATTTCGGTATATGTCATCATCACCTGTTCTAAAATCAAACTCAAAAGATAAAAAAACTTGGACTGTTGCTCCGACATCATTTTTTTTTGTTGTTTGGATAATAAGCATGAGCGTGAGAACAATCTGGGCTGTCTGTTATAAAACTGAAAAATCATATTCATTCGTAGCTCGATCTCCTTCAATTAATAATGTAATACAGCAACAAACCTACGCTTTCACCGTTACTTTTGCGCATATTCTTTATTGTATTGGTCGAGATACCAGATGAAAGTTTGAGCTTCTTTTTCTTTTCCTCTTTGGATAGTGTTGATTCTTCCGGCGTTCTATTTGTATTAGCTTGTTCATATGCTGCGTTTTGAGTATTTGATTTGAGATTTACTGCTGCAGATGATGCTGCGTTCTTTGATATGTCTTTTTTGTTTTTTCTCGAACTACTTTTTCTTTTCTGTTTCGATTTTGATGATCCTCTATCATTTTTCGTTGTTTTTTCTGTGAATAGAAATGATTGAACTCACGAACTAGGAATGAGACCGTTCCAATAACTAGTCAAACGAACTAGTCATAAGTTCTGTTCTTTTGAACGAGAACTGCCACCAGTTCCTCTAGAACTGGAACTTCCAGCCATTGTTTATTAAGTAGTTTCAAGAAAAACTTATTGAAAAGTTAATAGACTTATTTTCTATGACGTGTGTTCACTCATTCAGAAGAAAAGATTGTGATCATTAGTTCCTTATCGTATGGAAAAAAGTTTCTAACTTTTGAGTTAAAATATTTCGTAAAAAAAAGAAACAATGAATTTTTCAAGAAGAAAAGTTAACAATTATTTTAGTAAATAAAATTGTTAAATACAGAGCTGTCTCACATGGAGAGCTGGAACCGGTTGAGAAAAGGTAAACCGGATCGGGCCGGCCGGTTGGAACTATAACTCAAACCGGCAAAAAATCGGTAAAATACTGGCGAAAACCTGACGAAGTTTTTTGAAAATCTATTTTCAGAAAGAATTTCCCTCAGAAATGAAATAGTTTACGAGCATATGTGAGAGAACCTCACAATAACGAGTCTCTAATATTTACCCTTAAAACAAGTGATGCAAATAATATCTGTCGTGAGCATCGTCTTATTTATTCTGACTGAAAAAGACGTGAAATTTTATTTTTTTGGCGAAAAACAGGATAAAAAGAGCAGATGTTTCAAAAGTTTCAACTGGTGAAATACCGGTCGGGTCCTGTTCGGTGCCGGTTTATCGGAGTGGTTCCAGCTCTGCTCACATACGTAACATACAAATTTGTTAGTTTCTTTACCTTTGATGGATTTGGATCTGGTACTCGATCCACTAAAACAAATGGTGTTTGAAATATTAGTGGAGACTAGCATACGCAAAAATAGGATATATAGCAGTGACATATTAGCGATTTTAAAGCAGAAAATTGCTCCTTTAATATAGATAGATACTAAAGAACCTTCGTGATTTCTTCGTTGATGGTGTCTTTTTCTTGCTCATCATCTTATTTTTCCCGTCTGATATTGATTTCGGTTTTCCTAAAAAACTACAACTAGTTATTTTGTTGAGTAACAAATAAAAGTATGTTTAGCTTACTGAACAATAAAATCTGTGTTAGAAATGCTCTATTAGTAAAATGATAAGTGTACATTAGCCAAGAGAAATTATGACAAACCTGTTCTTTTCGATCCTTTCGTAGAATCCTAAATTACCGAAAGATAACATGAATTATTTTACGCAATTAGAAAATAATCACATAATAAACGAATAACTTACCTTTCTCGTTTTCGATATCGTTTTTCTTTTCTTTTTTTCTGCATTCTTTTTTGTATCTTCTGTTTTTGTCGCCGTGACACTCGATGCAGGTGCTTCTCGTTTTGTTAAGATATGTTCCGTTGTGTCGTTTATGGTTGTGGGAGTAGCTGTTGTAGATCTGAAAGTAAATTCCTTATGGACTTGAGAAAACCAATGTCACATATTCAGCATACACATCTGGAGTTGACGTTTGTATGGGCAAAGGTGGTGGAGGTGACTGAAATATTCCAACTGATTATGAAAATCATTAACTGGCGCTAGTAGAAGAGAAGAGGTAGACTGATTTGCTACTTGTGTAACAGAAAAATGCAACTTACCAATTTGATAACAGGCGCTACTTTTACATGTTTGAAGTTTACGACCGTTTTTTGTATTTCCTGCAGCATTCTACCTTGAAAAAAGTTCAAGATAAGTAACAAATTGTGTCGATATTTTCCGTTTACCTGGTCCATATGAATATTTACATGATTGACTCGCTTGTTTTGCGCGTGTTGCTTCTTCCAATAGTCTTTCTGGTTCTTGAATTTTATATAATATACAATAGATCGTTCTCGCAACTCTGTTTATATCTAATATGATGGGTATCGTTTGAACAGCTGAATTTAGTTCATCAAAAGCATAAAAAATTGGTTTGAATATTGTATACTCATGCATACCTGTTCTAGCTGTTTGAAAGAATTCTCTACCCATAACATCACCAAATAGCAATTCAAAATCGGATTGTAATGCAATAAACGCTTTTGTAACGTCTCTATACGGATCATCAACATCAACTATAGTTTCAATGGTCATACCAGTCTTTTTTTTCTTTACATTGTCGGCAATCTGTTCGCGTTGTTTTTCTGGTAGATGTTTTCCTGTTTGTAATATTTGTAACAAAACTTTTGATTTATAGATAAATCGACACATTTTTGATATGATACCTTGATCCAAATCAATACATCTATTAGGTCGAAGTCTTCCGTCAGCTCGTAAATGTCTCACAACGTTTCTAGTTGCTAGACAAAAGCTTCTTAACTAAAAAAGAAATCTAAGTCGTACAAACTATTCTAGTCTAAAAAAATGAAGATAAAAAACCTGTTCTTTCATCCGAGGTAAATCATCGCCATTATGAAAACCTATTCTGCAAATAGCTGTAATATTCTCTCGTTGTGTGTATTCATTTCGAATATCAAATAAATGTTTTAATCTATCGCATTGCATACGTCGAATCGCATATTCAATCAAATCGTTAGCAATATTAGCTGCTTTATGAGCCCATATTTGTAAGAATTTTTCACACACGACATTGAAAGGATCACTGCAATTCGTAGTTAATTTTGGTAAAAAGTGAAGATGCGCTGCTACATCTGACATGATAAATATATTATTTGACTTTTTATTTTTAAACCATATACATTGGATTAAAATTGATATAAAAAATATTCACTCATTATTCTTATTGTCTTTTTACTATTGAGATCAATCAGCTATTTATTGGGATGTTGCTGATAGCAACAGAATATTAACTAAAGCTTAGAAACTGAAAATGTTTTCTTTCAATTTTTAACATTAATTTACATATTGTAATATGTATTATCCACTAGACAGTTTTTTAAGATTCAACACAACAAAATTCTATTATAGAAAAGACTCTTTATTTTGTCTATTTCATCAACACTGGATCAAAACAATTCAACTATTTTATATTCCACAAACAATTTGTAAGCGATTCAGTCTATTGTAAAGAATTACTAATTAAATGATTTCGAACTAATGTCCAATAATGTTCACCTTTTTCTGTATAATCAAAGTCAACAAGTTTTGCTGCTTCATCAAAACTTCTTAATTTCAAACATAAATTAAACAATGGATCTTGTTGAAATTTCTCTGCTTCATGTTGTGTCATTGGACCACCTTGATATTCTAATGTTTTTTTACTCGCATCAGATAATTTATTATAATAGTCGTTGTTAATATATGTTAAATATCGTTTTGCATTTACATGATTTTGAATTAAACGACAAATACGATCAGAAAAATGTCGTTGTTTTAAATATTCGGCACCAATTATTTCATGTCGCATTACACCATAGTCACTCATTAATTCATCTTCATCTTTTCCTAATAAATGGCCAATATCATGTAAAAATGCAGCTATAATCAACTCATAATCAGCAGCATCAAATTTTTCAGTGAAATATGCTGCTTGTATAGCATGTTCATACTGAGTAATCTGTTCACCATAATATTCACTGTCACCATGTTGTTCGTATAAGGAACGAATTTCATTCAATGAATTATCAATACTAGACATTTTTTTCTAATGTCTCAATGTATTATTAAATAGGAGGAATATAAAAACAAGAAAATATACGTGAATAATTTTAGTTCTTATCAGTAACATGTGGTAGATGAAAAATAATAATCTCAGCAACTATTTCTAGTTTTGGAAATCAGAACAGAGAAAAATAAAAAAGCTTGTTAATATACATAACCTACCAGTTATTCCGTATAACATGTTCCAATTATTTTTCACAAGATAAATTTCAAACTGCTAAATGAAATATAAAATATTTTTAAAATGCCTGAAAAAGTAATTGTAATCGTATGTTACTGATATTTTGAGATTGGAATTTTAGTTTTTTGCGAATCTTTTAAAAAAAGGATACAATATTTACAAAAAAACAGAACAACATATATACAAGGATACAATGAAAATAGAAAAAACAAAATTATGACTTTTTTTTTATATACAATTTGATTAAACAAGAAGAAAAGTATAGAAAAATATGTAATATATTTCTATCGTTTATCAATGAGACATATATGTAAAAAATTGTCAGGATAACTAAAATGTTCACTTAACCATTGTACGGGTGTTTGTGATGATGGTTGTGTACCATGTATAATAATTCGAAATTGTTCAATTCGCGTATTTCTTAAATTTAATTCATTATTAATATCAGATAGGGCCTCATTTGTCAATGCAAATTGAACTAAATCTCCAAGTGTTAACATTCTATTAGTATTTGGATCAAAAGGTGAAAATAATTTTTGTATAATTGGTTTATCTAGACGATAGAGTCGAAATGGTATATAACGAAAATATGATAAATTATCTATATAGGACATTAATTTTGTATTTATATTCCAAAATTGTTCATATTTATCTTGTATTAAAGAATTCCATAATTGTTTATGATCACGTTTTTGCATATCACCAATAATTTTACCTTTATGTTTTAGAGAATCAGCTTCTTTTAATGAAGACATATAATGAGCTTCAATTGACTCTTTATCAGGAAAACGAATAAGTTCTGTTTCCGGAAATTTTGTAAAATGAACAATAATTTGCCATGGTAGAGAAGAATTTGTTAATGATATTAATGTTGAATCATTTGTATGTAAATCGTATAAAACACCAATTGGATGATGCCATTTTAATGGAATACTCTCATATTCAAGCCAAATATTATTTAAATTAATATTTGATGTTGGTAATGTATTATTTAATAAATTTGAATTATCTATTTTATAATATGCTGAAAAATAACGATATATTTTATCTATTATACATGGAAAATATAAATTACGTGATAACATTAAATAAAGAGGTTCTGGTAATTCACTACGATTAACTTTTGTCATATCTTCTTCAGACAATATAAAACATATTGGTAAACGTGCTAACCATAATTCACGTGTAATCTCTTTGTCATCGCTCATGATTTTAAATATGATTAACTTTAATACATTATCTAAAAATCTAATATTTACAAGTCACATTAATCATATTACTATTAAAGAATTATTTACAAATTGTATAATAACAATCTTCTAGAAAACGTTTTCAACGATTTTCATAAGATAGAAAAGAAATTCTCTATCAGATAGGCTATCGATTGGTATTCTGACAGTAATCAATGAATTGAAATTAACAAGTAATTTGCAAAAAATACTCTTTTTCTATTTTGAAAATGTATTAACGAAAGAAGCTTATCACAATCTGTCTGCGAAAATATTTCACGTATGTCTGTCAACTGATAGATAAATTCGGTTTACTATGGTGAGTTCTTTCATTCAATTCTTAATTATTATACATTTGTTCAAGTAAAGATACATCCTCGTTTAACAATAAAAAGTTAACAACATACAAAATAATAAATAAATAAATAACAAATCATTCAAATTGATTGGCTAAAAGGCCCCAGTTATTTTTAAACAAAACATTTGTTATTATATATAAAATATATTTAAGCAAACAGATTAAATATTGCACACATACATTTTCCTAAAAAGTAACAAATAAAAGAGAGCACCATTGTATGGAAAAAACAACAACAAAAAAAATTTTTATCAACTTAATTGAAGAAAATGCATAAAATCTTTTTTATTTTCTGTTGTTGAACGCGTTGGACGACCAAGATTTTTTCGATGACCTGTTTTCACTTTTATTTCTAAAAGAACAGGACCAGTCGTTTGACGTATTATTTGCATACATTTATCAATTTCTTCCTTTTTTGTTGCCACCATTACTTCTTTATATCCGCATCCTTTTGCTATCTGACTAAGTGAAAACTTTTCATGATCCATTGCAACAGTGGGCTTAAAAACAAAAAAATACAAAAATCGGCATACCAATAATTACTAACTCACCTGTCCTCCAACGGAATCATGAGTTCCATTATTAATCACAATATGTTTAAAATTTTTAGGCCCTGATGCGGCTATTGTTGCCAATACACCCATATGCATCAAAATTGCACCATCACCATCCATACAAAATACCTAAATTAAATTCTAGTTTTAGTAGTGTATTTTAAATATGCTAAATTTAACGTACTTGTCGTTCAGATTTTTGCAATGCAATACCTAGTGCAATGGAAGATGCATGGCCCATACTACCGACTGTTAGAAAATCACGTTCATGACCATCGCCACGCGATTGTCTAAATATATTTACGTTTGTTCTGTTATTGTCATTCCAAAAACAGTCGTTTTTTACCTATATTCATATAACTCTCGGCTTAGCATTCCTGTTGTGCCAACTACAACATCACGCTGATGTAATCCATTCACAACATATTGCATGGCTCCTTCTCGTGTTAATCTAGACAAAAACAAAAAAAGCACATGGACATCTGTACAAAAGCTTAATAAAATAGAATTATTTTACTCAAATTGATCATCCATGCTTATCTTTGGCAATTTATAGGGTAAAAATGTCTGTCGTTTAACTAAGAGAGCATAGGGTCCATGAGCAGTTTCCATATAACGTTTTGCTGTTTGTAATGCTTGTTCAGCACCGTCATGATAATCTGGAAGCGGTTGAAAAGGTATTCCTTGTGCCGCTATAACAGTGATAATGTTGGTAAATAATTTTAACATTAAAACAATTATTCTTAACTACCTAAAATTCCAGGTGTCGCCGGTCCTTGTATTCTGTGTTGAGGTTCATCGCGTTTTCCAGGCTCGCCACGCCAACCAATTAATAGTAACATAGGCATGCTATAGACACCTGGAGTTGCTAATGACATAATCGGATTGACTATATTTCCTAAACCAGAATTCTAAATAGTAAGCGTATATGTGGTGAAAGATATCAATATTTAACACGTAACTCCATTATACCTGCAAATAAACCATTGCCGGTTTTCCCGTTGCTACAATATGAATAGTGTTACAATTAACATATTCTAATCTAATACGAAAGTATTAAAATACTCACCCAAATGATAACCAGCAGCTAATCCCACAGCAGCGCCTTCATTCACCGTAATAATATGTTGTTCTTTTGGAACATTTTTTGTCACATACGCACAAAAATCTAAATTAATTAATGTAAAAAAATTGTTACATCAAAAGACGACAAATATGACACAAATTACCTTTTAATAATGAATCCGGTACACCACAAAAGAAATCAATTCCAATCGATTTTATCTGACGAAAAAATTCAGCAGGATCCAAAAAATCACGCACCAATTCAGGCATATCTTAATGAATATTTAACTAGACTTTTCATTCTAGAGAATAATAGTCAATTTGTTTTATTTACCTTGAACTTCTTCGTTACGCTTTTTCTGTTGTGCAACTTGCTAAATAAATAGTCAAGTTAAAATGTGTATTGTATTCTAGTTTCATGCTAATACTAACCTCTTCGACACTTTGTAACAGATATGATGACGTCTGTATAAAACGAATAACCTTCGGTTTCACTATATTTTTTGAACATAATAATGATCTATAGATTATGTTCAGACTATTCATCTAAAAGCACAACACCATGATCTACTTTACCTACATAAATACACACAAGTGAGAGTAGTCAATAGAAAGTGTACATGTAACTCTTGTAACAGAAGTTTATATATACCATCTAGAAGACATAATCTACGTTTCCATAGGTAAAGATCATATCGTTTATATCATACAGCTAAAAGCATCTAAGAAAGACACAATGTTTGTTTATTTATACAGTTTTTGTCATGTCAAAACTAAAACAATAATATACAAACAAATAATAGTGTTAGTCTAATCTAATAAATGCACTGATGTAAGAATACATTAGAAGAGAACAAAACTTTAGACATTATTAATACAAACTGGAAAAAATTTATCAGACATTAAAAAAAGATCAAAGCTACAAAACAAACAATTTCGATCAGGCTTAATCATTACTTTTTTCCATTTTTTTTGTCTAAAGCACATTTATTTGAGAAATTCAGCACCTTCCTAAAAGATTTGCATCAGCAATTTGCACCAAGAAAAAAAAGAAAAATGTAGTTGAACGTGCGCAGTTTATTTTTAATATCAAGAGCGAAGAATGAACTTCTATTCATCAATCTCAAATTATTTTATTGTGACCAGCTAAACAGTAGTCAAAAAAACAAGGTATTTTTGTAAACAAAAGTGCAAAATAGTTCCTTATAAATCAGAAAGTGTTCCTCAGACTCAAAAACGATCTATAGTAATGCAGTAATGAATTGCGTATAACTAGATTGCTACAATTTTTTCTAACGAAAAACCTTCCAAATGGATGAAAAAAAGCCATGTTAAATAACTATTCTAGTCTTAACGTTTTATCCACATCTGATTAAATCTGAAGAACGTTGTACAACAATGACATGCTGCTAACCAAAGATGATTGACATAGCACAAATGATTTGAACCTGAGTAAAAAAAAACCAGAAAACAAAATATAGATACTGTTTATGTTTTCTTTTATACAAAATATTGCCTAGGAATGAACATGAGGGTAAAAAGAAATATCTGAGAATTTACCACTCCATTGCAGCTTCACACAAAAAGTAGAAAATATACAAGAAAAGAGGTCAAATATTTTGGTATCAAAAAGAGAAAAACCGAAGAATTATATATTATATATTATATATTTATATAGTGTATGATCGTTATTTTTAAGAGATAAAATGTGTCAAAGAAGAAATTGGTGTATATTCTGGAGGTAAGGATGATGATGATGTTGTTGTAATAGTAGTTTGTTCATACAATGGTGGCTTTTCGATACGCATAACAAGCGGTGTATGCGATTCATGAGGACGTTCGTCTAATTCTTCAGCAAATACAACAGGTATACCTAAAAAAACATCAGAGTAAGTAATTACGATTATTCAAAAAAGAGAACTGACAACATATAGTAGAATAAATCAAATTTCTAATACCTTTGCTAATATATTGTCGTTGATCTTGTTGTGAATTTCGTAGACGATGATGTTTATGATGATAATAATGATGATAAAAATGTTTGTTTGGACCGGTTTGACTTCCATTAGATAATAACAATGTTGAAGATGATGATGAACGTCTTTTACAACAAAGACAACATCCAATAATTGAACATGCTAATAGTCCAAGTATTATTATAGATAACGGAATTATCGTCAATGGTAACGATACATTATTTAGTAATAATACTAGAGCATTTTTAGTGTTTGTCCTATTGTTCATCAATACGGTAGCTGTTGTTAATTTTGATGAAAAAATATTCATTTGTTTAACTGATAATGGACTGAAATAATCAACTGAATAAAAATAATTGACTAATGTTGTTGGGATAGTTGGTTTTTTTATTATTGTTGTAGTGGTGGTGATAATGGTATGTTTAAATGAACGTACAATCGATATTTCTATAAGTGGTAATTTTAATAAGGATATTAACATTAAACGTCTGGAATAAAATCGATCAATCATTATTTTTAATAATTTAGTTAAATTTGTTGTTGAAGTGGAATAAATATCATAGGAAAAATATACTTTTATCATTGAACCATTTATTTTATGTACAGTCAATGTTTGTTCACTAACACTTAGAGCTTGTGACAATGTACGAATTAATAAATATCGATTATGAATAGATGAATGATATAATGTTGATGATATATTAAATAAACCTAATAATAAATGATTTGATGGATAATATAACGTTGATGGTAATTGAAAATCAAATATTAATTGTAATTCAATCATGTTCTTTCCTAAAAACAATAGCGACAAAAATAGTATCCATTCATTTTGTACTTTGACAACTCTTTTTATTTACCTAAGTTTTCGTTTTGTTGAAATAGAATAAAAAATGGACCACTATGGTCTCCGAAAAGTGGTAAACCAAATAGTGTACCATTTTCAATCGTAAACCAAACTTTTTTTTGTGGACTTATTTTATATAAAGTACCGTTTATATTCAATGAACGTTGATAAGCCTAAAAAAAATGAAATAGTAACCATTATTACTATCTTTATTCTTTACTTTCGTTCAACGAACTTTATTATAGACAGCATTGGCAGTAAAATTCTAAAAAAAACAAAAGAAAAAAAAAAACTATTTATCTTATAGCATTTTTGAAATTACGTACCATCAATGAATGTTGTACCTGACGATAACTTCTATTAGAAGTTTTTTGTTGACTATGAGGAGCAATTAGATTATCCGATATTATCTGACGATGATACTTTTTAATATGAGATATCTATGTAGAAAAATAGTAACAATGAATAAACAAACGAAATAATGATTAACTGATGTTAGAATCACTATAAAATATCTACTTTATTAGAATGTGAACTCATATTAACAGACAAACTATACAGAACTCAAAATGCTAATTTTTTTTTTCTTTTTTATCATTAGATTGTTGAATCTAAGATTTTTGTCGTTTGTCGATCTAATTGAACCACTTTGAGAACAAATAAGTAGTAGTATTCCTTTAAGACAGAGTCATCGACATAGTTCTGTACAATTTTCTATAGTTATTTTAATGATGCGTTAACTATCACCTGTTGATGTTGTTTTATTTTTCTTATCTTCCGTTTGTCATGAAATATAAATTGATTTGTTGACGGTATCATATAAGTGAAATAATATTGTTCACAATTTGCTGGTGAGAATGATGATAGTGATGATAAATGACAAATAATATTTTTAGAATAACAACAATTTTGATAAAATAGAATTAAAAATATCGTAATAATTGACAACATTGAATAATTTATATACTATTCTAAACGAATTTTTCTTTTTTCTTTTTCTTTTTTAAATAAATTCAAAAAAATATAATTTTCTTCTTTCTTATTATTATCAACCATAACGAATCGAACATCATATTATAATTATTTTGATTATATTCTACTTTCTCTATGGCTTCAAATCGAGGCTTCTATTATTGTTCGGTGCGCCTCGAATGATAAGTATAAATTATCCTCCATTTTACATTTTTTTTTCCTGTTCTTTTTACGTACAATACATTGACTTTTTTTTTCGTATTGTTATATACGTTCACGTAAAAAGAAGAATAAAATGTTACATTGTTATATTATTATCATCATTATTATTATTATTATTATTATTATTATTATTATTATTGTTCTGTTTCTTTTTTTGATTGTTATCCGTTAGAGTATAAGATGGAATAGTTGAAGTTTTTTTTTTCGTGCGAACACACACACATCATATGTTTCTAAAAATAAAAGACTGAAGAACAATAGAACGGTCAAATAAAAATATACAGGTTTGACCGATATAACATGAAGAAGTAACATATATGCAAAAAATTTCTATAAGTGTGGATATGTTATTTACTGATAAGAGGATATTCGACTGTATATATAAAAGTTCTTCTGTTGTTAAAAAATCATTATCAATGTACAAAAATTTTTTTTTTCTCTTTACCTATATTTTTTCTTTCTTGCTTTCTTTCTTTCATTTTTTTTTTCTTCTTCTTCTTTTCTCCTTTCTCGGTTACGATCATTAATACGTCCAACAATATGAAACATAAACAAATCACATTTTTCTTTTATTCTAAGTAAAAGAGCTACTACTAAATGAGAAGAAAAAAAAACAGAATAATGATATCTTCTTTGTGGAACATGTCTGAAAACTACATCTTTTATCCGAATTAATTTCGCACATTTCTCCGGGGATGAATGATGATGACTTGTCTCGGTAGCCTAAAATCAACTGAGAGAGAGAGAGAGAGAGGGAATATTACATTTCCTATTCTTTGTTTTTATTATCAAGTTTTATTTTGTTTATATCGTGATTTTCTTGATATAATTAGTGTGTATGATGATGTACATACATATCTATAAAAAGTAAGTAAAAGTAAGTTATCAAAACTTAGTCTCTCGCTTATACAACTCTATTTACATGACGCAGACTATCATAGTCTATTCTTCGTGTATGCAGTCTTTAATTAACACTTGTTTGATATAAGCGATTCTCGATGAAGTTTTTTTTTTTATCAAACTGTACAATGCTTTCTACATGTTAAGTACTAGCAAGAATATTTTCATCCTTTCAAAGATGAAGAACGATTTCAATGTATTTTTAATTGCTCATTTAGAGTTATTAGTCTAACTAAAATCTACAGTCATTATGACCGAACGATGAGGAGAGGGATAGTACCCCCTGTTTTTTTCTCATACCTTTGTTATCATCATCAAGTTGTGTATATATACTGAATTTTTTCGATGTACAGATTTTTAAGTGCAGAGACAAGCAGTTTTTACTGTTTTCGTGCGATTTTGCTATTCTATGTATATAAAAATTTAAGCTTAATTCTTACGAAGTTTGACAGTGCATATTAAGTGACATATACCGGTAAGTAAGTTCTTATAAAAATTAAATCAACTGTACCTGAGAAAATAAACATTTTTCATTCGATTGCAGTTTCAGAGCAATTTTTTGAAATTTATACAAACATTTTCGAAAAAAAGAACGAAGAATTTTGAAGACAACCTTCCACTGTCAAAGTTGTCCATGATAATGCTCTTCATATACTAAGTTGGATGCTATTTCCATTTTAGTGGAAATTTTTTGAGCTTTAAATTGTGTAAACTGCATTTATTTGAGAAATTTTCTACTAAAATGGAAATAGCGTTCGACTCAGTATATGAAGAACATTATCATGAACAACTTTGACAGTGGAAGGTTGTCTTCAAAATTCTTCGTTCTTTTTTTCGAAAATGTTTGTATAAATTTCAAAAAATTGCTCTGAAACTGCAATCGAATGAAAAATGTTTATTTTCTCAGGTACAGTTAGTTGATTTAATTTTTATAATACTTTACTTACTGGTAAGTTTTTTTACTTTTCTTCACTCAATCTGCACTGTCGAACTTCGTAAGAATTAAGCTTAAATTTTTATATACATAGAATAGCAAAATCGCACGAAAACAGTAAAATAGTTGGTTACGTTTAGAATAATAGTAAAAACTGCTTGTCTTAGCACTTACAAATCTGTTCATCAAAAAAAATTCAGTGTACAGTTTGATGAAGACTACAAAAATATGAAGAAAAAAACAACAACATTTCCCCCTTGATTAAGTTAGATAAAATAACGTTACAAGTTCTGATACAATGAGTTGAAAGTCTATACACGCTAGAAAGGTTAGTTTAAGTTAATAGGTATCATATAATGCCTTTATTCAAGTATTATTATTACCGTCTTTTTCTGAATCAAAAATATTTTGAAATACAAAAACTCAATTATTTCATTGTTTTTTCTGCGTTCGTGGAATTAGCATGTACAAATTTTTTGTTTTTATATTAACAATAAATAAATGAAACAGTATGTCTATTACATTACGGTAATTGAACATAATAATATTCTATGTGTACGTATGTGTTATACAATTATTTTTAATACATAGAAAGAAATGGTTTGTCCAGTTTGTAATAGATGATAAATTGCATACATCTCTCTCTCTATATATATTAGCTGTCTTCCTTTATTTTGTTTTTGTACATAATAAATCTATGATTGATCAAACTTTTCAGTTTTTTTTGATAAATCACGTTTATGAACGAGAGTACATACTGATGTGATAATAATAATGCCGTTTCGCATATAGTGATTACTTATTTATCTGACATATGACATTTGAGACAGCTAGTATAGTAAAATCATTCTAGTAACCTTGTCATAAATAAAAATAAAATAACATAACTGAATTAGCCATTCACAATATTTTACAAGACACATTCAATATGCAATATTTACGGTAATATCAGCTATATCAGGGTATTATGATCTGTAATTTAGACGAAATCATACGAAACAAAATATGTTGAACTGACAATTTCGAATTTTGCTAGAATCACACAATGTTATAAGCGTATAAGCGAAAAAGACATTTTCTTTTACATCCTCAACTATACTGTCCGTATCTATTCATTTATTATTGGCATATGATGAATGAGAACCATATTTTGCTCTTTTAGACGGTCAGATGATATTTAGAAACAGAAAAAGAATAATTACGTGGCAGATAGTAATTTAGACAAGGAAATGTATTATAAACTGATACGTAGACTCGATAATGTATCAAAGATAATTACGAGTATGAATCTTTAACGATATCAACTTTTTCGAATTAAAAATATCCTGCGATGGCTGTAGATTATAGATAGTCTTATTAAAAGAGAAGATACAAACAAAAAACAGCTGGCATGAACATTCTATTTAAAACTCTCTCCTATATTTTCAAAAGTTTGATAAAAATCTGTTTCTCACATGACATACCTGACAGCTAAAAAGAAAAGAAGAAGGTACTAGATGTTAAAACCAATATGAGTTTTTAGTATGATGGTAACTTGATAGCTAGATTTCCTAAAGTATCATAGACAATTTTGAGCAAGATCAACCACTATATCTCTTATGGTGCTTGAATAGCAGATATTTTTCTGAGACACATGTTATTCATTACCATTACATCTGGCAATTTTAGAAATAAGTAGAAACATGCATTTATAGTCCACACTGAGTTTTATGGCGATGTTTGCTCTAGAAACAAATTCAGAAACCTGGTAAAAACTTATATTAGCTAAAATTCTCTATTTCCAGCTATTTTCTCTATACTATATAATTCATCGAAAGTTGTAAAAAACAATAGGTAAAAATTTTGTTTTTCAAAGGACGTTCTAGAAACCATTGGAAGTAAGCTTATGTTTTCTACTTAACTGCAGAATCAAGTGTTGAATCTGATTCTGTTATTACGATGCAGAAACTACTCCTTTAAAAGTTGAAAAACTACGATAGAAAATTGAAACGTTTTTTTGGTTCACAATCCGACGAATTTTCTGTCATCTTCATACATCATAAACAATGAACAAAGGTCTTTAGAATCACTTAGAAAAAAAAAATAGCAAAACAAACTCTGTTTGTAATCCCAAAATCTTCGTTTCGAATAAAAAAAAACCAAAAATAGTAATCTTTGTAATTGCTTCATAAAAAAACAGGCTATGACAACTACTGAATGTGGAAAAAGAAAAATTTAAACATATAAAATAATATTTTCTTTCTCAATAGAAATTTATGAAAGACAAGTTACTAGTCTACGCAATAAATAAATGTTTAACATATAAAAACAGACAAAACATCATGAGTTGTCGTTTGGAAGGATAATTAATAATTATTGTTCATCATAAATAAGATCACCGTATTGATTGACTCGAGCTATTCCTTTAGATCCGTCCCTTGTAGAACTATTTCTCATAAAACTGTCGTTATCTGTAACTGTTCTAGATCTACTAATATCATTTAAATCTTGAGGTCTCATTACAACTTCATTTTGATCATTTTGTGCGAAATGTTCTATTGGATCATGATTATCGTCAACGGAATCTTGTGTCGATATTCTTGGATCAATACCTTGGATGGCCAATGCCAGATTACTATTTGGAATTTGTTTTAAAATTTTCTTTCGACAAACGGGAGCATATGATATTTTTCCTATCAAAGTAAACGTATAGCGATTGTGATTTTGAAATTTTCTGCAAAAAATGAAGCTTTGTCTTACCGAGAATGTATCCGGAGAATAATCCAAAGCCAAGTTTTAAAAATTTCATTTTTACTGATAAAATATTACGTTGAATAGCAAATTGTGTCATAAATAATCCAATTAGTCCAAGTGGAATGCTTCGATATATCAACGATTCTTTTTCACATTCTGCAAGTATTTTTGTTTCTTCTATGGATAATGTTAATTGAGGAAGTTGCTGATGAATAATTTGCTGATCTGATCTAGACATTGTTTATTGTTCGTCTAAAAAGTAAACAAAAATAAAGCTGACACTATAAGCTAAATGTGATAAAATTCTTCGAAGAGTTTTCATTAATAAAATAATGTGTCACTTTTAGAATATAAAATCAAACTACAAATTATTCAAAAATAGAATCCAAACTGTCAAACATTTTTATCTTCTCATTTGCCTAATTGACCAAGAACAACAGGTAAATTTTTATTTCTATTCTATTTCCTCAACATTGAATGACAAGAATGCAGTGTTATATCCAACGTAAAGGAGACAAACAACTGCAACGAAAGATATGTCGAAACAACACATAAGATAAAAATAATATACAATAACTCTAGTCGTGAATAGAATAGTTATAACAAAAAGAATAAACAGGTGTTATAACTAGATCCCTGATAAGTATAACATACAACTCTCTGAACATTTACAAAAAATAGCTGTGATAAAGTACAAAACAGAAACTTGAAACAAACACAAATCCAGCTAGAGCGTAGGACGCAAAAATATACCCATAAAACAGACATAAAGAGACACTGAAAAGTATGCAGGATGAATCACAAAAATATGTCATGGTGCTTTTCGTGATCGTGTAGCAATGGGTTCATTCGATTTTGTTGTTAAAGACAAACTTTCAGTATATTCTCCATTGTTTAATTTTTGTTGTCTTGTTTTTATTTTCGTATTGTTTTGCTCTTCTGGCATATCTGCTGTTTTTGTTGCACCTCGTCGTCCACTACGTCGAATATCATTTGGTTGTGACTGCGAACGAGAACTGGTCGAATTCGATATAGGAGAATATGGTGTTTGTGTTCTTGTTCTTGCTTTACGTTGTGTAGCATTAACAGATATTTTTCTTGGTCGTCGTTCGTCTAATACACCGGATGATTCTGGTGCCAAAAAGTCATCACTTTTCGTTGTCGTTGATGTATCTGTTTGTGGATCTGATGATGAAGGGAAAACGCTTAATTTGAATTCTGAAAATCCTTTGAGATTTTGAACAGCATCAAGATTATCAAATACACTTTCATCATACAATGTTTTTAGATGTTCGATCATTTCTTCGAAAGTGTAACTCTTTTGTTCATTTAATCGACTTAATTTCGACCATAATACAAGATAGAAAAAGCCTTTGGGTAAAAAATATTCGCTCATAGTACTTAAACAAAATAACAGTTCAATCTCATTCTCGATTGTTAGTGGCATCTGAAAAATATGAACAAAAATAACAATTAATAACTATATTCTTTATTTTGCTTCATTCGCTGAAGACAATGTTAAACACAGAAGATAACTATGACATGGAAAACATGTTATGCTATTCCACTATCTACAAAAATTTAAAACATTAACTGTCCAAACTTGCAGTGTCAGCTCCACGAAATTTTACTTTTTAGGGGAGAGCGATTTTCAAAAACTTATTTTACTGAAAATAAAAGTACGTGCTATCGAGAAGTTGGCGTGTATTATGAGTACTTCACCGAAGAAATGCAGTTTTTTCTAAAACGAGAAAAAGGAAATCAAATGTGTAAAGAGAGGTATCAAAAAATGTTACTCAAAGTTTAAAACTGCTGATTATTCGTCGTTTCTAAGAAATAAATTTGTCTAGTTATATGCTGACCACGTAGCGTCGCGCCGTTTCAATGGTCCTTCGGTTGTGTACTACTGCCATCTAGTTAGATTACCAAAGATGAGACATATTTGGCCGAGTTAATCCATATTACCAAATCGAACAATTTGACTTCTTCGACCAAAATCGATTGCAGATTCCTCTTCTCCATAGTCGATTATCTTGTACGCGATAACTTTTAATCGAGGTACTTCAGAAAAAATTTGCTCATGATCTTATTCAAAAATTTTTGAAAAGATCACTGCATGGAACCAGAGGCAAAACGATGTCAAAAATTTTTTCTGAATTACCCCCGATCCAAAAGTTATCGCGTACAAGATAATCGACTATGGAGAAGAGGAATCTACAATCGGTTTTGACCGAAGAAGCTTTTAAAATTTTTCGGTTTGGTAATATGGAACGCTCGTCATCGACTGCTTTTATGACAGTACAGACGTAGTAAGACGCTAAAACTAACCATATACCCTAGTCGAGACTCCCGGCAAAACTCCCACGGGCCTTCTGTCATCGGGGCCTGCGGGATTCTGCAGAATCTTACAGGAGTCAGGTGAGACTTTCAAGGGATTTCTCAGGACTCCCGTAGAACTTTCGAGTCCTGCGGGAGTCCAACGAAAGTCCTCAGAATCCTTAAAGTCCTACGGGAGTTCTCAGGATTATGAGAAATCCCTTGAAAGTCCCACCTGACTCCCGCAGGATCCTGCAGGATCCCGTGCCAGGAGTTCCGTGGGAGTTTTGTCGGGAGTCTCGACTAGGGTATCTTCAATTCGTTATAGTATTTTTCTTATATTCTATATCGACATTGCCTCCTCAACATTTCAAAAGCTAATCTCAATCGATGAAACGGTAGTAATAGAAGTGGGTCGGGGCGAACCTATACAGAGAATCGTGAACGAATTCTTCTCAAGTCTCAACGTTTTAAGTGCCCAATTAATCTGTCCGATTTAGTACAAATATTCTACAAACCTTATCGTTCGTACCCAGGAGAAAAAAAACGGGCAATTAACTGCTCATTAACTGCCAGTTTACAGTCTCCTTAAAAACTGCCAGTTGACAACGTGTTAACTGTCTAAAAACCACCTAAAAACTGTCTAGTTTATTGGCCGTTTTTAGGTCTGCAAAAATACCGTCTAATAACTGCCAGTAAACGGAAAAGCCAAAA